AATCTTCAAAAATTATAAAAAAAATATTTTACATGAAAAAATTGATCAAAACACCCCCAAAAAGTTTTGGGGGTATTTTGGTCAATTTAATTTTCGTGGATATTTTTTTTTATATTTTTATTAGATGTGCCACAGTAATATGTACATACCCTCCAAATTTCAGGTCATTTTGATTTATAGAAAAAAAATGAAAAATAAAACACTATTGGACAATAGTGACCGCACGATGAAATTTGGATGGTGATGAGGGCAAGAGAAATTAACATTCACTTTCGCCTATAGGCGTTGGAAAGACTTTTCCATATATATATATATATATATATGATGAATTTTTGTTGTGAATTACATCCAAGTTTTGATGAATTTTTGCCAAAATCATGCTTCTTTTTTTGTCTAGTGACAAACGTTTTCTTACATGAAAGTATGCACGGGAGAAACACTAAAGCATAAGATGCTGATTACTTGCTTTCTTGATGAATTGAGAATGTTATTTATTTGAATAACTAGTTATTCTAATAGATACTTGTCAAGAAAAAAATGTTGCTTACTATTCTATTGATAGCTGACACTGGCTGACAGAACAGGCAATGGAGATTGCTATTGCGTAGCCCACCGAGTCTTCTCAGGAGTCTTGAGATCAGATGTCACTTGCACAGTTTGTGGTTTTACTTCCACGACTTATGACCCTTGTGTTGACATCTCTCTAGACCTAGATCCATATTATGGGGGTTCTTCGATGGTGACTGATAAGTCTCTAGGGAAAGGCTCTGGAACCTCGACCCTTATTGGTTGCTTGGATCGATTCACTCGTCCTGAAAAGCTTGGCTCTGATCAGAAATTCTTTTGTCAAAACTGCCAAATTAGACAAGAATCACTAAAGCAAATGTCCATAAGAAGGCTTCCTTTGGTCTTATGCTTCCATATCAAGAGATTTGAGCACTCTTCAATAAGAAACATGTCCAAGAAGGTTGACCGATATTTGCAATTCCCCTTCTCTCTTGACATGGCTCCTTATCTCTCTTCTTCCATTATAAGAAACAGGTTTGGCAATAGGATTTTCATATTTGAAGGTGACGAGCCAGATGCTTGCTCGGATTCTTCATCTGAATTTGAGTTATTTGCAGTAGTTACTCACACTGGTAAGCTTGAAGCTGGCCACTATGTGACCTATTTGAGGCTAAGGAATCAGTGGTACAAGTGTGATGATGCCTGGATTACTCAGGTTAGTGAGAGAGTTGTGAGAGCTTCACAGGGTTACATGATGTACTATGTCCAAAAGATGTTCTATTACAAGGCGAGTGATGACTTGAGCTCTTTGCCTGAACAAAACCATCGGTCCTGAGGATATGGAAAGTGATGGAACTCTGGACCTTGGGCTTGTGCGGTGAAGTTTGATGCCAGATCTTTTGTTGAAGAGAGAAAATACCATCAGAAGTATGTCCTCTCTTCTTCATGGGGCCAAAGAGAAGCTAAGTTTTTGAAGCAGTCGTTTGGCAATAGAGAGAGAGAGAGAGAGAGAGAGAGAGAGAGAGATTGTTGTAGGTTTTGAGATTTATAATGCTATTTATACTGGCTGGTTTGTCCTGCCTTCGAAGAATTGTGAAACAAAGGTCAGACCCAAAAGAGGAAAAAGCAGAAGCCGAAGAGATTCAATTCCAGTGAGGACCCAAAAGAAGAGAAAGCAGAAGCTGAAGAGATTCAATTTGAGTGCGGTTGCAAGACCTAAATCTTTTCAGGTTTCATGGGGCTTCGTGGTCAATGAAGATTTTGAATTCGAGACCATTCTTCTTGCTTTCAAGAAGTGGATCAACTGGTTCAGAGATAATTTACAATGTAGGCTGACTCTGTAATTAAATGAGAAAGCCTGGTCATGAAGCTTGTTGTTATTAGTTATAGACATCAAAATATGATTTCTTTGATTCGTTTTTCCCTGCCCGTCTCTTGCGCCACACTGAAAACTGTATAGAATGCTTTGGTTTTTCTTCTGATACCAAATACACAATTGGTGAGTGAATTATCTACTCTTCCAAAACTTTTATGCTTTGTAGTGTCGAGTTTTCCTTCATAAATTCATTAGCCTTTTGTCTAATTTCTTCTGTGATTGTGTTTATTAATTAGCGTCATTAGAAGTAAGAGCAAAGTTTTATTGAAATTTAATCGACACTTGATTTATTGGATTATGATGAGCTTAAGTAAAAGCAAAATTTGTCCTTTTAGCCACGTTTCTAAATTTCTTGTGGATGGTACTCATTTGTATTTTTTACTAGGGGGTTGAGGCCGAGTTGGCACTTGGAGTGCAGGATTGGTTTTGTTTTTTGAATTTCTTTTTGAGGTTGAGGCCTATCTAGCACTTTTATCCCTAAATCTTTTTTAGAGGTTTGATGCCGTTCCGACCGGATCAGCCTCAATGGACTTATCAGGTATATATGTCCTTAATCAGGTGGAAATTTTAATTGGGGAATCCATGCTATAGTGTGTACCTGTAGGGATCAGCTTCAATGGACTTATCAGGTATTTATGTCAGGTGGAAATTTTAATTGGGGAATCCATGCTGTAGTGTGTACCTGTAAGTATGATAGATAATTTGTGACTTCAATAAATGTTTCCTTTTCATGACACAAATATAAGTGACTTGTAAATTAGATGAGGTCTTGGATATCTCGAGAGCCCACATAACCAAGGTGTTTTACTCACTTGGTAGATTGACAGTAATTGGGCTAATTAAATGGAGACAGTAATTGGGCTAATTAAATGGACTGAGAGAAAGCCAAGTGGGAAATAAGCACACTAGGTTCTACTTCGATGCAGAGAAGATAAGTTGGTGAATATTAATGGATCAATTTGTAAAGAGAGATATGATCATTCTTTTTCTTTTAGGTAATTCAGTAAGGAAGATGAAGATATTGAGATGGATGAGTGGCAAGACAAGAAGGGATAGAATTGGAAATGAATCTATTCGGGGGAATTTAGGTTGGGCACCAATGGACGATAAGTTGTTAGAGAATAGATTTAGGTGGGTTGACCATTTGTGGTGCCGACCAAGTACAACATCTATTAAGAAGTGTGAGTTAGTTCAAGTGAAAAGATGGAAGAGGGCAATGACTAGGCTCAAAAGGACGTGGTTGGAGTAGTCCGAAAATATATGAGGATTAATGACCTCACTGATAATATGCTATTTAATAAAGCAGAATGGCAGATTGGGATTTATGTAGCTGATCTAATTAATTAAGAAAAGGCTATGATGATGATGATGAATTCAATGGAGAAGATATGTTCCTTTATGTTTTTTTAAATAATTTAAGAGTTGTTTCTTTTTAAGGTGTTAGTGGGGAATGAAAACCTCAACATGGTGACTAAAGTGTGGGGGTACTACCATTACGACCCAGCCCTTTTCTCACATAGAGATTATCCTTATTGCTAGGAGAGTTATGCTTTCCAGTACTGCCAGCAGGACGCTGGTAGGTGAGGCACCTCTAAACTAGAGACAGAGAGAGGGAGAGTTTGTTACATACTGTTACTTTAGTTCTTCACCACTGAAAAATAAAGGACTAGGAAAAGGTATAAATATGATCCATATGGGCATAACAAACATGACCTCTCTGAGCTTTATCACTGTCTAGTCGGTTCGTTGGGGGGTGGGATCAACTTTCTCCCGTACCACGCAAGTCCAACCCAATTTCTGCTCTCTCTCAAAACCCAAAGTTCGAACCGTACCCTCTCTCTCTGGGTTGTATTTTTTAGAGAAAATTATATACACCTTTCGAGTTGGATTTTCTAGACAACTTCTCCCAACTACTTTTTAAATCACTCAATAAACCCTAACAATGTTTTTTATATCGGTTATCCCCAAATCAAAAGTAAGCTCAAATAAAGACCAAACTACCCTCTTTTTAGTAATGTCCACGCACTTTAGTGCGTCGTCTAGATGCACTCACGGTTTGGCACATATTTTTTGTGGTCCAACACATGTTCTTTGCGGTCCGACAACTTGTTTTCTGGATGCACTTTACAGTCGGGCACTTTTTCTATAGGGTCTAGCAAGTTTTCTACGCGGTCCGATACTTTCTCAATACGGTTCAGCATAGTGTATTCTAGACGCCCTTTCGATCCGATAATGTGATGCCGTTGTGTACAATCAATGGCATTTTCATCCTTACAACTGTGACTTTTTGACTTCTGCTCACAACATTTGGATTTGGGGAAAGCTTTCAGTAGAAGTATTGCAAATGTTGCTAGCATAGGTCAATTTAATGGTTTTGAAGTTTCATGAACATGCCTGCATATTTCATATTTGCAGTATGCAGATGATACATTGTTTTTTTTGTGATGCTTCAATGGATCAAATTTTGCATACGAGGAGGATGCTGTTATGTTGTGAAGGATGCTGTTATGTTGTGAAGTACGTTTGGGACTTAAGGTAAATTTTGAAAAAACTCTACCATAGGAGTGTCTTATGAGGGAGGTGTGGTCTCATCTTTGGCGGATTTGTTGGGTTGTAAAATAGATGAGTTTCCTATTACATATTTGGATTTACCTTTATTTGATAGGAGATAGCATAAATATGTGTGGATCCGATATTGGAAAGGATGCACACGAAACTGGATTTGTGGAAAACGAAGAATTTGTCTTTGGGTTGGAGAACGGCTTTAATTAAGTTGTCGTTATCGAATATGCTGATTTTCTAGATGTCTTTGTTTGTGATGCCAACATCAGTTTCTAATAATATTGAGAGGCTTATGAGGAATTATTTATGGATCAGTGGAATTTGGGAAGAAATATCGTTTGGTAAGTTGGGATAGAGTTTTTACTCATGTCTCTGAAAGGTGATTGGGTATTAGAAGAGTCAAATTTGCTAATCAAGTACTTTTGGCAAAATAGTGGTGGAGGTCAATGGATGGTGAGGAGCTTTATGGAAAGACGTTGTGAAGGCTAAGTATAGTCAGGATAGAAATGATTTGCGTTTAGGAGGGATTGAAGGATCTTGATATCAGTTCGGGGTTTGGAAAAGTATCCTTCAAAATAGGAATTTTATGATCAATTATTCGCGATGGGAGGTTGAAGGTGGTTCACGTTTGGCACGGTAAATGGCTAGCAGATGTTCCATTGAAGTGGGTATTTCCATTGATTTTTAATGCTGCAACTAACCCTTTGGCTAAGGTTAGTGAAGTGATTAATAAGGAAAAAGGCTATGTGGGAAGTTAATTGTCTTTATAATAGAGTTAACAATGAATTTATAAGACAATTGGTTGAACTACTTAATTTGTTAGAAAATGTAAAACTATTCCAAAGATATCAGGATGAATTAGTGTGGGAAATTCAAAGTGATGAAAGTTTTTCAGTAAAGTCTGCTAATAACTTATTGTTCCATGATTGGATACGATGGAATAGGTGCTCTTTGCATAAGATCTGGTCTTGGCATGTTATGCAAAAAGTGAAAGTGTTCTTTTGGGTATTGTTTCAAGCCCTTGGCAGTGGATAAGCTTGTGAGAAGGGCTAGCGTTTTAACTACTATTTGCTTGCTTTGCAATGAGAATGAGGAGATGAGGAGAGTGGGGATCACTTATTTTTTCATTGTCCATTTGCCTATGGAAATATGGTGTTGGTTTTTCAGAAAGTTGGGTATTGTGAGCTCAATTCCACAGAGTCACATGAATATAATTAAGCAATTGAGTCATGTGATGGGTTGCCTAAAGTGGGTGGCTTGATGTTTCAAATTGGTATGGCAGCAATTTATAGGAGGTGTGGATAGAAAGAAATAAAAGAGCTTTTCACTAAGCATCAATGGAGAGAGATATGGTTTAAAAACGAATCCAACATATTTTATGAAGTTGGTTTTCTATTACAAAAGAAGGATTTGGTGTTTTTAAGGTTGATAAGGAGGTGAATGTTATTAACCTTATGCAAGACAATGTGATAAAGGATTGACCTAGAGGGAGATGAGAAGTTCCGGTGCTAGGAAGCATCAAATTGAATTGTGATGGGAGCTTACTTGGGAATATGAGACCAGCTAGAGATAGGGGTATTGTCAGAGATTATTGTGGCGAAAGTGTGTACTGTTTTGCTAGTCATTGTAGTGATAAAACTACAAATGAAGCTGAACTTTAGCAATATTATAAGGCCTAAAATCATAAAGGAGAGAAGCATCCTTTTACCTTGTGTGGTTGAAAGGGACTCAATCAATGTAATCAAGTGGTACAACTCGACCCTCATGGAGATTGAGATCCATATGGTTGGAAGTTTATAGGGATTTCACATGGGTTGTATGTTTCCTTTAGATATATCTTTAAGGAAGGTAATGCGATAGCTGATTATTCTTTGGCTAAAAGAGGTGTTTCTCTTTAGTCGTTGGTTATCTCAGATGGCATTATTATTTGAATTCGATGTAATTTTTTATTATTAATAAATTACAGAATATTGTCAAAAAAAAAGAAAACACCTAAAATTTTTTGACTTGGGAGGATCTTTACTATAAGAGCTAATTTTGGAGTAAAAGTTGTGATAGAAAAAGTAGTTGGGTCGGTGGGGGGTTTTAATAATTTTCCCAACATGGATGGATTTTTTTTTATAGCTGTGTATATTTGCTCATCGGGTGGTCCCTCTCTCCCTTCTCATTCTAACTATTTTTAGGTACTTTAACGAGGTTAAATACAGGATGAAGTTCCTATAAGGCCTAGGTTTTGTGAAAACCAAATAAAGCCTCACCTCATAACCTCGTATAGAAATCACTTTTGGCAACAAAAATCTTCATGATGGCTCTAAAATTAATTTTTAAGAATGATAATTAAATTTGAAGCTAAAAAATCGTACAGATCTTGCAGATCTTTGACAGCCTCGCCTCAAATCCTCATATGAAAATTACTTTTGACAACGAAAATCTCCATGATGGCTCTAAAATTAATTTCCGAGATTGATAATTAAATTTGAAGCTAAAAAATCTTGTAGATCTTGCAGATCCTTAAACCTTTATATTTAGAGCAAAAAACGGTCTAGATAATTTGTTAAAATATATA